CGTTAGGGAAAATACCTGTGTATGTTTTTGTAGAGATTATATACTGAAGACGGTATAGGCGCCCGGCGGCGCCTCCGTCGAATTTGCATTGCAAGAAAATAAGTATTTTTTGTATCCCCTAATGTTGTATTTTTTTACTATGCAGATCCCGTGTGGAGGCAAACAACCCCATTGAATAACGACTAGTGTGTGTGTGTGTGTGTGTGTGTGTGTGTGTGTGTGTGTGTGTGTGTTGTATTGTTCTCTTTGGCCTCAGAAAAACACACAGATATACACTTACATGATCAATACATGGCTTTACGAGGTGGCACGACATGGCTTTCAAAGCCAGGAGTAAACTCATTAACGGCTAATAGGTGGAACCAGGAGCTGTTGCTTGACCCTGCAACCACATATAGGTGAATATAGGTGATACGAATACACACACACACACACACACACACACACACACACACACACACACACACACACACACACACACACACACACACTCACGGCTCAGGGAGAGTGACCTAGTAGCGATCAGTGAAGAGGCGGGGCCAGGAGCTCGGACTCGACCCCCGCAACCTCAACTAGGTGAGTACAACTAGGTGAGTACACACACAGGAGCTGAGTCTCGACCCCTGCAACCACAATTAGGTGAGTACACACACACAGGGGTCACAGTTGGAAGTTGAAGACTCAGATGAGTCACAGGGATGTTAGGAAGCATTTCTTCAATCACACAGTTGTCAGGAAGTGAAATAGTCTGGCAAGTGATGTAAAGGAGGCAGGATCCACACTTAGTTTAAAGAAGAGGTATGATAAAGCTCATGGAGCAGGAAGAGTGACCTAGCAGCTACCAGTAAAGAGACGAGGCCGGGAGCTGTGACTCGACCCCTGCCACCACAACTAGGTGAGTACACACACACACACACACACACACACACACACACACAATAGACCTGGCAGTTCCTGCTATGTGTTGTACTCATCAGAGAATCAGACTATTAACTCACCATTAAGGATTTACTAAGATTATATCAACTAATGCAGGATGTCTGCAACAGCGTAAGATCAATCTGGTCTCGACTCCTCTTACAAAATCTCACCTTAAACTAAAGTTAGCTTACTGTACACAACTGTCAGGTAGAGTTAATTTATATTTCCTTAAACGCGAGATTTATTAAGAAAATTCACATCGCTTAGGCAAGCCAGTTGTGGCTTCTGTCGAGTTAGGTTAGGTAAGGTTTGTCAGGAAAAAGGACAAGCCTTTCCTAAGGCGGGTCTTAAGTCAGGGTTCTTCGTAATGACACACACATCACAGAAGTCAGCAGCCGAGTTCTCCTTTGGCTTGTTTTACGGCTAGTGTCTTCATGATTTGACGTGCTGTTGGAATGTTAGCAAATTAACATTTACGAAGGGATTCATTTGAAATGGTTAGCTGGACTCGAGTCCTGGAGGTGAGAATATAGTGCCTTCACTCTGAAGGATGGGTGGGGATGTTCCAATTTGTAGCCCAACCTGAACTGTGACGCCAGCAAGGATCTAATCAGACATTGATTAGACATAAATAACCGGCACATAGGAGAGAGGAGCTTACGACAACGTTTCGGTCCGACTTGAACCAATTACAATGGGACTTAGTGTATTATTAGCGTATTGTTCCTGACACGATAATGTGTCTCCTTGTTCTTTAAAGACAGTGATTAAGTGAATGATGGTCAGAGAGTTTTCTCGTTTTGTGTATTACCTAATTGTGGTTGCAGGAGTCGAGTTGCAGCTTCTGGCCCCGTCTCTCCTCTGGCTGGTACTGGGTTCACTCTTTCCCGGCTACGTGAACTCTGTCATATCTAATTTTAAAACGATGTATGGATTCCGTGTGTTCGTGTGTGCGTGTGTGTGTGTGTGTTTGCTCTCTGTATAGCGGTAATGGTGTTTAAGGGGAATTGTTTGCAGGACTTTATTGCACACTGTTTGCTTGCATGCGTACTGGTTTGCTTGCTGTGGAAGGAAGGCAGAGGCTTGGGGCAGAGATAAGACAAATGGGGTGCTTGCGTGATGCAAGCAAGGAGAGAAGGGGAGAGAGAGAGAGAGAGAGAGAGGAGAGAGAGAGAGAGAGAGAGAGAGAGGAGGAGAGAGAGAGAGAAGAGAGAGAGAGAGAGAGAGAGAGAGAGAGAGAGAGAGAGAGAGAGAGAGAGAGATTACGAACAAGGACTTGCAAGGTCAGACCAAAAAATAACGTCCCATGACATTATCACACCTCGCCTATATTAACTCACTTCACCTCCAGCCTATATTAACTTCCAAGCTTAAACTACGTTCCGATCTATTAGGCTTCATTTTAACCTGTTTCCAATATACTAACGGGTGTTTGAGCCTGTTAGTATATCGTTTTCGATATAATATACTTCTTAATATAGCCAGCAAGCTTTCCATTCTAACATATTACGTGTAATGAAGAGTGAGGGTGACGGTGTAATGTCTCGTGAATATCGAAAATATGGTTGTATTTTCTGGGCTATGTAATTTTGGTTCTGTTGTATTATGGCTGTGTATGTATTTTGGGGATGTGGGTTATTCTGCACAGCTCTTCTGATGTTACTATAAACACTGGAGATGGTGCCCCAGCAACACTTGTTGTAACTACAAACACTG